TGAGTTCTAATTTTACTGCATTTAGCTGAAACCACCTGATAATGTGTGATATGGAATCTGCCATTTGTTGAGCATTGCTTTGTGGACTGACTATTCCTTGCCAGTTTTTGTGAGTGCTCTGTGTGTGCTTGAGAACAATATACATTGTATAGCCATAGCTTTGGAGTTCTATATATGTCCATTATGTTAAAGTTATTAATTGTGTTATTCAAATTTTCTGTATCCTAACTATTTTTTATCTTTTTATTACCAATTGTGAAATTATCAGTTTGTCGTATTACAAGTCTGTCAGTTTTTGCTTTATATATTTTGAAGATACATTTTCATACAGAATCTGGGTTGTCACATCTTCCTGGCGAATTATTCCTTTCATCTTTATGTAATGACTCCCTTTATCCATAATAATGCTTTATGCCTTGTAGTCTATTTCATCTGATAATACAGTGACACCAAGTTTCTCTTGGATGCTATTCTTCTATTATGCTTTTTCCTTTTATTACTAAGTTTTCCGTGTTAGTATTTTTTCAGCATATCACTTAGTAACAGAAAGAACATACTAGATTTTTTTTTCATTCAGTTCCAGATCATTTCTCTTTTAAATTGCAAGCTCAGTTTATTTTTATTTACTGGGATTACTGATGTGTTTTGATTTTTATCCCATAATATTCTTTTTTGTCTCCTATTTACATTCCTTTTTTCTTTAATTTTTCTCCTCTTTCTGCCTTTACTTTGATTGACTGTGTTATCCTCATTTACTTCCCCCCACTTCCAGTTAGGAAGTTTAATATTCTGTTGCTGTTTTCTTGGAGGTTGCCTTTAATATTTTACCCTTTATTAAAATATAACACAAATACATGAAAGTGCAAAAGTTATTAGTGTACAGCTCAGTGAATTATCAAAGTATAAAATACCTGTTAATCACCACCCAAGTTGAAACACAGGATATAGCTTTCCATTTATCCAGGTCTTTTCTAATTTCTCTCCTAAAGCTTTATAGTTTTCAGTGTAGGTCTTGCACATATTTCATTAGATTTTCTACTAGGTATATGATATTGTGATGTCATTGTAAATGGTATCTGTAAATGTTTTTATTGTTTGCTGCTGATATATAGAAATAAATTTATGTATATATATTAATCTAGTATATAGAGATTCCTAAATTAATCCTAATAATTTATTTATATAGATTCTTTTTGGACTTTGTACATGTCCAATAGTACTGTCTTTGAATGCTGCTGACTTTATTCTCAATTTTATACATTTTTTCTTTTTTTTACATTATTTCACTGGGGAGGACCTTTAAAATTATGTTGTACAGAAATGATTATTATAAGAATCTTTTCACAGTCTTAATAATATAAGAAAACATTTCAACATCTCACTATTAAATATAATGTTTGTTGTGGTTTCTTTTTTAGCTAATCTCTGTCTGATTTAAAGTTCCTTTTGATCTTTAGTTGCTGTAAGTTTTTATTGGTCTTTAGTTGCTGTAAGTTTTTATCATGAATGGTCATTTAGTGTTTTATCAAATACTTATTATATACCTGTTGAGACCATCATGATTTTCTTCTTTTATTCCATATATGTGATGGATTACATTGACTGATTTTCATATATTAAGTCAAACTTGTATTCCTGGAATAAGCACAAATTGATTATGATATTTCTTGATATGTAATGCTAGATTTTCTATGTTCATATTTTCTTTAGGATTTTTGTATACATATTCATGAATGAGATTGGCCTGTATTATTTCTTTATATCTTTGTCAGAATTTTATATCAGGGTTGTGCTGACCTCATAAAGCACATTGTGAAGTATCTCCTCTTTTTTTGTTCTTTGGAAAAGGTTATTCAAGATTGGCAATTTTTCTTCTGTAAAAGTTTGATGTATTTACAGGTGAAGTCATCTGTGACTGGAGTTTTCTTTGTGAAAATATTTTCGTTGTGGATTAAGATTCTTTATAGAGACTATTCAGTTTCCATTTTTTCTTGTGTCGTTATTGTAAGGTGCATCTTTCCAGGAATTTGTCCATTTTATCACAATTTTCAAATGTGTTGACAAAACATTGTTTGTATTAATCCTCTTATGATGTTTTCTGTCTGTGCAATCTATAGTGATGTCATTTTTTCATTCCTGATATTGGTTATTTGGGTCCTCTGCATTTTCTTCTTGAACATTTCTCACCAGAGGCTTATCAACTTTATTGGTCTGTGCAAAACATCAAGTACTGGCTTTGTTGATCCTTTCTATGGTATGTCTGTTCCTATTTTATTACTTTCAGCTCTTATTATTATTTTTTCTTTCATCTACTTGCTTTGAGTTTACTTTGCTCTTCTTTTTCTAATTTCTTAGTACAGATGCTTAAGTCATTGTTTTTCGGCTGATTTTTCTTTTTGCCTTATAAAAGTTTTTGTACACATGGATTTAGTTACACTGCATAAGTTTTGATATGTGGCACCTTTATTCATTTCAAACTATTTTCTGATTTTCATGAGGATTTCTTCATTGTTCCACAGTTTATTTGGAAGTGCATTTCTTTACTTCCAAACATATGTGGATCTTACAATCATCTTCTGTTACTGATTTCAAGTTTAACTTCATAATGGGGCAGAAAACATTCTACATACGATTTTAATACTTCGAAATATGTTGAGACTTGCTTTAAAGCCCACCTTTTTAAAGTATATTTTTCTGTGTCCTAGGCTTTTATTACAAACTGGCAATCCCCTGCACAGTTTTCCATTCACCCTTCCACCCATTCCAATCTGGCTTCACAACTACCACTTTATCAATACGGCTCTTCCTAAAGTCATCAACAATTTCCATGTTGATAAATCCAATGGGGAATTCTCTGCCTGTGTGTTACTTGACCTTTCAGCAATATTAGATACAATTAACCACTGCTTTCTTGAGACTTTAAGTTCATGACAGTATCCTGATCTCCTCCTATCATTCACTGACCTCTTCTTCCCAGTCTCCTTTGATGGTTGCTCTTTTCCTGCCTGATCTTTTTTTATGAATATTCATGAGATACAAATTACCAGAAATTGCTTTTGTACCCTGTGTCTCCACCCAACTGTCCCCCAACCACCCTCACCCTCCCCCGTCCCCCCTCCACTTTTCAGCCCTAGCAATGTTCCCTTCCTCTGCAAGTCCAATGCACCACCGTGATCTTTCTTTCCTTCCTTCTCTTTCTCTCTTAGCTCCCACTTATGAGTGAGCACATGTGGTATTTATCCCTCTGTGCTTTGCTAATTTCACTCAACATAAGTTTCTCAAGGTTCATCCATGTTGTTGCAAATGGGAGCATTTCATTCTTGTTTATGGCTTTTTTAAATTTTATTTTTAATTGATGGATAATAACTGTATGTATTTATAGTGATCTAACTGGTCTTTAAATCATTGAATACTTCAGGGCTCATTCCTGGGGCTCTCCTATTCTCTCTCTTTAGTAATAGTAACCAGTTTCATGCCTTTAAATACCTATATGCTAATGGCTGCCAATTTTATATCTCCAGCCCTGGCCTATCATATATGCTTCTGCTTAATTGACATCTACACTTAGCTCTCTGTACATATCTTAAGGTTAATCTGTTTGATCTTCCATCCTTATTCTTCCCTCAGCCTTTCCCATTTCACTAATGACAGCATTGTCCACCCATTTTTTTAAGCCAAACTTTTATTTTTTGCTTTCCTTCATCCCCCATATACAATCTTGAGGAAGTCCTGTTGGTTCTACCTCTAAAATAGACCTTAAATCTGTCCAGTGGCCCTGTGGGGTATAAATATTATTATTTCCATTGTAAACTTACACAAACGGAGCTTAAGGGAGCATGTCAGTAAGTTGTCTGAGGGTACATAGCTATTAAGCGGAGGAATCAGGCATGCAGGTGTCTTTATTTCAAAGCCACTACTCTTTCCATCATACTCTAACCCTCAGAGAATATTTGTGAATAAATTAGTGAGCAAATTAATCCAGATTATAATAAAATCCATAACCATGGCTTTATCAGAAGAATATTGTCACCTGCTATAAAATAACTGTTATCTATGGAATATATTAATATCATCATATATCAATACCTCTTAATATATTAATATCAGTTTCAGAATTTGAGACCATGAAAGAAACAACTTGTCTTCCAGAACACCTTCCAAAACCTACTGCATTCTTTCAATAGGCTTTTATCCCACTTCTCCTCCTCTAGCAAGGGAATTAGATCAAGAAAGAGCCTTGCCAGGCTTTTATTTTGGATTCTTTACTGTCATGATTTTATTAATATTCAACATTACTCATCGAAAAGTCAAGGGGACTAAGGAGAGAACCTCAGCAGAGCCAGTAGGCACCATCATTATATTGGCTAAATACTGAATAGCATTTCAAGATAAGAAGGCTGTGTACTTTAATCAACCAGGAGTCATTTTATATGCTTAAAATAAATGCAAATATTGTCAGTATGATCAGGAAAACTAGTTGATTACTATCATTGGCAGCTTTACCTTTTGTATATTATGAATTTTATTAGAAAGTTGTTATCTTTCCAATCATTGAACTTTTCCTTAATGAAGTTAGGGCACTGTTTTACTGGGGTTTTTCCCCCCAATGAATTCTTGCAGTATCATAAAATCCTTGCAACATTATCTGTGATCTCAACAAATTTTTAGTGAAATCCACTTGGCATTTGTTTGTCATTCACTTTATTTCTAAGCCTTGAATGCCGTTGTTACTTTGTGGACTTCTCAAAATCAGTTTGGCTTAGGGGTTATTTTATACCTAGGGACTTTACCATTTTTGCAGAGTTCCTTGTATGTTCACTCAGATGCTAGATATCTTTGTGACTTTTTTTATATGTATATTTTGTTTATATAAAGTGTTTATAAATTTTTTTAAATATAAGCATAGACTGGAATTTTTGGCAATCTTAATGTTTTTTGGAAAGAATGAATGCTGGTTTTTAATAAAATATGTTAATGTATCTTCTTTAAATTCCACACAGAGCTCTGTACCATGGAGTGTGGTAGCCATGGAGTCTGCTCAAGGGGAATTTGCCAATGTGAAGAAGGCTGGGTAGGACCAACCTGTGAGGAACGCTCCTGTCATTCTCACTGTGCTGAGCATGGCCAATGCAAAGATGGGAAATGTGAGTGTAGCCCTGGATGGGAGGGCGACCACTGCACAATTGGTAAGTACCACCATATTTTGATCATAGTAAGTTGGATTAATTGAAGAAGTAAGAGCAGTTTAGTGAGTCAAATGCCAGGCTTTTAGTAGAATTTGAGGTTGGCGAAGAGGAGGAGGAGGAGGGGGTTGGTTACAAGTTTGAAAGTTCTATGAACAGGAAGGTTTCTTCTTTTGTTGATAATATCCTACTTATTTCTTGTGTCGTTTCCTTTCTCATTATCTCAGTATTCCTTATGTTTTCTGCTTTCAAATGCTTTCAGTTACTCAAATGAAAGATGATACGTTGGAATAAAGTGTCATTAGTTAATAAGAGAAGTGCTTTTGTTGTGAAGGTAACATTCATTGCCCATTTTTCCTTTTGAAAAGTATAGGCTGTTTCAGTTGAAAGCACTTAGAGGCAATTTCATTAAATGGGACTACTTTAACAGGAACCATTTGATATCATTAGAGGCTGTCTTTAATGTATATGAGGAAGGCACTCCTGACCTATCATCATAGAACATCTGTGTTGAATTGTTTATCTGGTAGTGTAGAGTTTGTGTTGAAACATCCATCCTCTCTTACTCCAGTTTCACAAATTTTCAGAATACTGCATGGGAGAATAGTCTGTGGGCAAGGGAAAACCTGTGTAATAATCAGTCTATCATGTGATCTTCACACTATAAAGGACACTAATAATAATTAAGATTTCAGTTATAAAATACTTTCTTTTTCTGAAAAAATAATCAAAGCCCTTGATATATACACGTACCTGCCACAAAGGTTTCTTGCATATGTAGAAGGACAATTACAGTTCTCATTGTTCTGCAAAGTGGGCCACAGAGTGTTCCAGTGGCATTCCATTACTACACAGAAAACTCATGCAGAGCAAAAGCAAGTGTGGGCCTCTGGATACCCAATTCACTGTTTGTGGGCTTTTTTCCCCCACTAGACTGTACTACAGCTTTCATTTTTAGGTGAAAGTATTTTGTTATAATGTTTGGAACCTGCCAATGGAATGTATAATATATATAATATATATAACATATAATCGTAATAAACTGCATTACTACTCTACTAAAGGTATAGTAAGTTTTGTTCTGCAGCTGTGGAAAATGTTTAAGATTCATTTATAAAGTGGTGAGGGGTGAGATTCAGATGCAGCTTAAGTAATTACATTCCCGCACTACAGTAAGTTTATTGCCTTCACGTAAGAGGATTTAAATATTGTGATGATTTCCAAAGGTGGTTACTCCAGAACTCCCTTCTAAAGATATGACTAATAAGAAGTTGAAACCAATGCTCTTTCACAGAAGTTATTACTGAAATGTAAAAATGAAGTTCTTACACTTTTAATGAAATATGACACTTTTTTAGGAGGCCTAATAGAGTTTCTTGCAGAAAAACCATTAATATCTTTCCCACAGAAAATATTATTCACAAACTACACAGGCCAGTGTACCAACTTTTGTGCTGCAGGCATTTCAGCAGTTCACAGTTTGCTGTTCTCCTCCCAGGCAACAGATGGTAAAGCATTAGTACATGTTGTATAGCTTTGGTCTCCCAGAAATTCATTCAATCACTCTTTTTCCCCCTCTTTTTAGCTCACTACTTAGATGCTGTCCGAGGTAAGATTTTTCTCACCAGTTTTGTAGCAGAAATATATTTTAAGCAAAAAATATGCACGTGGGAAAGGAAGGGTGTTTTGGGGGCAAGGGGTTGTTGTTTTTACTTTGGCAGTCTTGTTTAAGTGTATATTGTCAGGTTCATGCTAAAATAGTCAGACTAAAAGATAATTTGTTTTTCTGACATCAAAGATTCACTTTTCACCATAGTATGGAATCTACTGATAAGCAGTTTTAAGGACTATGTTTTCTTGTCTTTATATTGAGTTATGTATGTGTGAGGTTGTGTGTCTATGTGTATAACACAGATAGGTAATTATTAAATAAACTAGGTTTAGGTAGACAGCTGAACTTTTTCTTTAACATAACAATATAGCTCTAAGTCCATATGCATATAAGGGCAGAAGAATTATCCCCCTAGAAGTACCACATCATGTCCCTCCAGGGATCTGCCTTTGATAGAACCAGCAAGAGTTTTTCTGTCATATGTCCCAGTCCTTTTCATTACCTTAGCTTCAGAAGTTGAATATACCCCAAATTATCCCTAATTTTTCCATACCCATTGTATATCTATTAGAATGGAACTAGATAAATTCCTTTCTCAAACCTATGTATGTTCACCCTGTGCCAGATCTTAAGGATATTACAAACATAAAACTTTTCATATTTTCTAACATCCATCTTTCATTTTATATTAGAGTTTTTTCTTCCTCTGGTCTGTTGATAGTTCCATTTGGAAGGAACATTGGGTTACTTTTACAGATTCTTAAAATTTTATTTTTTGCTTTTTATACTTCTAGAATTTTCTTTCAAAGATAGAAAATGAAAAGAATATTGATTGGCCTATCCCCAGCAAAATTCAGGTCTGGCCTTATATTGTTAAAAGGGAAATATCCAGATATGAGTACATGCTATTATTGTTTCTGTTCATCTGCCCACTAAGCACTTGGCACATGTGCAGTTACCCTTTGGTTGAGCCTAACTCTGATCTACTGGGAAAAAGAATAACACATCTCTGAGAAAATTAGAAGTTGAAAGAGAGATCGTTGTCAGTGTTGGTGCTTTATCAATGGATAAAAGTCATTTAAACAGTACACTTTCCTCTTGACTATATTTTTCAGTTATTCTCTAGAATTCCGAAAGTCTAAATGTGGCATGTGTTAATTCCATAAGCAATTGTTGAGCACTTAATATTACTGTTACAGGCATAATATTATGCTAGCTTCTGAGAGAGAGACCACAGAAGTAAAAATTTCAATCCTTAGCCCTCAGATCAATAATAATCTTGAAGAGAAAAGCTGAACAGATGCAAAGCAACTGCGGCACATTTCTAAGGCACCATATGAGCAAATACTTACTGGTGTGGTCTGAACTGTACACAAACATGGCTATGTCCTGAAGCAATACATCACAAGGGGAAAATCAGCACAGGCTAGAAGTAGTTAGGGAGTTTCTCTTCATAGAAACTGCTGTCTTTTCCCAGCTTATTGACCATAACTAGATACAGTGTCATCCATCCAGTTTTGATTGAGATGATGAGATAGGTTTTTCGAAAACAAACAAAAAACATTTCTTGTCCCCACCATAGTTTTCATTCTATCTAAACCAGAGGCTGGGTATTGGGGTTAGCATTAATAATGCTTAATTAGCTCTCTAAGGAAAAGCACTGCAGAGTAAGGGATAACGAGTTCCCTGGGAAGGTTTTGCAAGCAAGCAAGCTCCTCTTCCATTTATTCAACACCTCATCTGAATGGAGACCAGATGATTAGATGTTTCCCTGTAGGCAAGTACATCACTGTTTGCCGATCCCATTCTGATTTCTCTGTGACTGTTACTCTCTGCTCTCTTTTCAGATGGCTGCCCAGGACTCTGCTTTGGAAATGGACGATGTACCCTGGATCAAAATGGTTGGCACTGTGTGTGTCAGGTGGGTTGGAGTGGGACAGGCTGCAATGTTGTCATGGAAATGCTTTGTGGAGATAACTTGGACAATGATGGAGGTGAGTAATTTATAAAATGTTCATACAAGAAAGGAATAGCATAGACTCTAGCACAGTGGCAATCAACATGGCCACGGGTGAAAATTAGGAATCCTTAGCACAAACAATATTGAGTAATTTAGGGTCATACTATACTATTTTTTGTCTCAATATAATATTTAAAAGGTATTATGTATTGAATATTTACTGTGACCAGGCAATATTCCAAATTATTTGCATGTGTTATATGTCATTTAATTCTCACAATAACTCTATCAGGTATAGGTACTACTGTTTTCCCTATTTATAGATGGGAAAACTAAGGCTCGGGGTGGGAGTGGTGAGTGACTTATCCAAGGTCACACAGTTGGAAAGTAGCAGAACCAAGGTTCCAATTCAGGGCTGTATGACTTCAGAATCTGTTTTCTTAACTACTACACCATGCTGCCTCTTATAGCCACGGCATTTATTATACCAAATTAAATTAATGTACCACTGTTCAAGCTGTCAGATGCTAGCGTAGCTTGTACTATCGCACTATAAGATACATTTATTCTTTCTTAGTTGTTTAGAGCTCCCTCTAGTGTCTCTACCTCGAAGTAACACTTTATATCTTTCAAAGGACACAGCATCAAGACAATTCACAGTAAAATTTTTTAAATTTTATTCAAAAGCTGCCATGATATTTCAGAAAGCCACATGTGGCTCCAAAGCCTCAGGGTAACCATTTTTATTTTATTCAAGCCAACAAAAGTATCTAATACATTGTACAATCAGACCTCAAAACAGCCCAAACCACCTCCGAGTGAGCCTAAAACAATAAATCCTCACTTCTACTCAAGGAAACATGAAATTAACAAAAAAGGTTTTTTCTAACTTCTGTATATTAGCTTAAAATGAAGTATATTATTAAATTTGACTCAAATGTCTGTATCTGATTAGATAAATTGCATTCCTTTTCATTTGAATCCATACGTGGGTCTTAAATCAATAAAGTAGCAGTCATGGCTTAAGCACCAAATTGGATGTAAGAGTTTCTTCCTTTGTTTGTTCTTGCTAACAGTTAACCTTAAAAAGTTACAATACATTATAAAAATTAAGTGGAAGCAACTTTATGATTAGGAGCACAGGACTTTGAAGTTAGACTTTCTGGATTTACATACTAGCTCTAGTTCTATGATTTAGGATAAGTTTCTTGATGTCTCTATGCTCCAATTTCCTTATCTCTAAAATGGGGTTGATAATAATATTAACTGCCTAGTAGGATTTTAATAAGTACAACAGTCCCCCCTTATCCATGCTTTTGCTTTCCGTGGTTTCAGTTACCCACAGGCAACTATGGTCCAAAAACATTGAATGGAAAATTTCAGAAATAAGCAATTCATAACTTTTAAATTGTGCACTGTTCTGAGTAGCATGATGAAATCTCAAAACAGAGTCATCCTACTCTGTCTCACCTGGGACGTGAACTATCCCTTCGTCCAGTGTATCCACACTGTATATGCTACCTGCCCATTAGCCATTTAGTAGATGTCCAAGTTACCAGATTGACCATCAAGGTATCGCAGTGCTTGTGTTCAAGTCACCCTTATTTTACTTAATAATGGCCCCAAAGTGCAAAAGTAGTGATGCTGACAATGCAGATATGCCAAAGCGAAGCCCTAAGTGCTTCCTTTAGGTGAAAAGGTGAAATCTCTCCACTTAATAATGAAGAGAAAAAATTGTTTGCTGAGATTGCTAAGATCTACAGTAAGAATGAATCTTCTATCCATGAAATTGTGAAGAAGGAAAAAGAAATTTGTCCTAGCTTTGCTGTCACACCTCTAACTGCAAAAGTTACGGCCACAATTTAATAAGTGCTCAGTTAAAATGAAAAAGGGCATTAAATTTGTGGGTGGAAGACATGTACAGAAACATTTTGTGATCAATGGCAATCAGTTTTGGTACTATCAGTGGTTTCAGGCATCCACTGGGAGTCTTGGAATGTATCCCCCACGAATAAGGGGGAACTACTGTAGTACATGAAATCATTCAAATGAACCCCTTAAAAAACAATAAACTACCCCACATACACACACACACACACACACACACCACTTAGAACAGACTGTTTTCTGAAGAGATGGTTTAAACCTTGTTCGGGAAGCTGGTGTGAGATTTTTAACTAAATGATAGACTGATCAACTACGTAGTTGGCTTTTATGTCCCTGCAAGACTCATCTTCACCTTCCTTTTCTTTCTTTTCATTATATGCCCCTTACCTGGTATGCCCTCTCTTCTACATCCATCATTTAAGTCCCAAATCAAGCCACATCTCCTATGAAACCTCTAACATCCACCGCCTCAATCTCCCATGGTGCTTATAATATGCACAGTACGATCAAGCACTTAATTATATTCTGTCTATATGGTTTTCTTGTTACATGTTAAGCAAGACCCATTGCCAATAGTTATATGCCCATTATAATTAAAATAATGGTATCTCACTTGTATTCAGGGTTTACTATGTACCAAGTGCTGTGCTGAACCCTTTATATGAATTTTTTTTTTTTTTTTTTTTTTTTTTTTTTTTTTTTTTTTTTTTTTTTTTTTTTTCGGTCTGCATGTGGGATCCGAACCCTCGGACGGGAGCGCCGCCGCGCTTCCCAAGCGGCGCACCATCCAGTGCGCCACCGGGCCGGCCCTATATGAATTATTTCATTTAATCTGCATGATGTGGGAACTACTACTGACATTACTATACAAATTAGAAGTTAAGTAAATTGCAGAGATCATATAGCAAGCAAATAATAGATCGATGGTGTAAACCTAGATGGTCTGTCTCATTGCGAAAAGGATTTGGTGTAGTAATAGGGATTTCTCAGTTGATGTAGTAGTCAAAAGGTTATGCTCAGAAAATATATTAACAACCTATGCAATTATAATTTCTGGCTCAGTTAAGGTTGAGCCAAAGTAAGTTTCCTGCCTTAGTAAAATAATAAAAGTAACCGAATATTTATCTAGCATATTTTATGGCCTCAAGATCACCTAAAGGCAGTCAAAAATGTTTAATGAATGGATTACCGATTCTCAGTGTCTGTGGTTTATGTAGATACAGAAGGTATAGAAGATTTTACTGAATGTGTATTGACCTATGAACATTCCTTAAAAACTGTGTATACACTAATCAAAAATCAAAGACCCTGATGTGAGTTAAGTGTACAGTATTTTTTTGACTGTCTCTTTAGAGAGTAGGGTGGGGGAAGCTCCTTGAAAGTTCAAATTACGATTTTTCTCCTTTAGTAGCCTTAAGATGATATTGATGATAAATATAAATTCAGTTCTACTTTGAGATAGAAAATTGGATTGAATAACCTCTGAAAGCCTCATGACTAAGATTTTAAACCAATAATTCTATTTTTATACTATTTAATTATTTATACTATTTAATTATTATTATTATACTATTTATTTATTTCATACTATTTTTTACTATTTTTATAGTATTTATTTATTTATATTATTTACACTATTCTATTTTTGTACTATTTAAATATTACCCCTAAGAATACATTTGGTGATCTCAGCTTTACAGCTGTCCAGAATGGCTGGAATTGTTTAGTTGAATATGATTAATGATTAAAATTTGCATACTTGTTTGTGCTTATGCGTATATGTGTGTGTTTTAATTAAATCGGAAGCTCCAATTGAACCTTTCTGAAAAAAGGTGGTACTAATTTTTAAAATGTAATTCTTTTTTTTTTCCATCTTAAAACATCTTTATTGCAACTGGCTGATAGTTCACATAACTTTTATTTTTTATTTTTTATTAAATCATAATTGATTATACATATTTTGGGCATTCGATGCTGACATATGTTGATCAAATCAATATTACTAGCATATATATTGTTACAAATCATACTTATTCTTTATGCCCCTTGTCCAATCTCTGCCCATCCCCCTCTTTTCATCCCCCCTCCCACCTCTGATAACCCTAGATTTCTTCTCTCCTTCTGAAAGAGTAATGGTTACTCTGTTGGTTTGTTGCCTAGTTGGTCTGTCCAATGTTGAGTGGTGTGTTCAGGTCCCCCAATATTATCACAGAGCAGATGTTTCTTCCATCTCTCTGGAAATGGGCTTAGTGAAGAAGACATCCTCTTATTTTCTTTGGTCTCTGCTGGTGACTCTCCTTGTGTCAATACACTCCAGGGGCTAGAGGACCATCTGCACTGTGGTTGTGGCATCTAGCCACTTTCATGGCAGCTGTGGTTATTGTGGTGGCTGTGGTGGGCCACCCATATGGAGGTGATGTTTTTGACATGCTCCTTATCTAGTTGCTGGTGGCTTCTGGCTCCATAACTCAGGACCCCGGGTGGGCCCCATGGAACTGGTGGTGTGTCTGCTTCTGGGAGGAGGGTCCAGTCCCCGGATCCATACCTCAGGACCCCGAGTGGGCCCCATGGCACTGGCAGTGTGTGTGGTTGTGGGCAGAGGGTCGGGTCCCCTCCTACAAGCCTCAGGACCCCGGTCAGGCCCCAGTAGGTACTCTGTTTTTTCTCTCAGTTCTGTGTTGGATTATTTGCTGTTCCCACTACTTAAACTCTGTGCTAGAACTCTAAAATGTAATTCTTAAGAAATCATTCCAATCAAAAAAAATCACTTTCAAGCAGTTGCTTCAAGTAGCTGCTACCTGCTTACTCTGTATTATAGCTGATACTTAACGAATGGCAGGATAATTTTGCATTCTGATCAGCTTTGAATACTTATTAGTATTACTGCTACTTCCTGCAGCTTTGACTTTAGTTACACTCTGATTCAATGCATTGTGACTCTTAGTAACTAATTGGGCTGCATTGAATATGTGGGTGACACAGCTGGTCTAGAAACTACGTAAGAGCTCCTTGAACAGTAAAAACAAAACAGAGAAAAAAATAACCCTTAGATGTTTTTCTCAACATGCAAAAAAGGAAAGCTATCTTATGTATTGTATATATAAAACTAATTATTATAGAAGTCACAAACCTATCAAATGTCTTGAC